AAACTTTATCTTAATATAAAAAATGCATTATCAAAATATGATTATCTAAATAGGTAAGGAAGGGCAAGAATCAAACTCAAGTAATTGGTAAACCAACATCTGAGCAACTTAAGACCAATTGTGGCCAACAAAAGCCTAGGATTGAAAAACAGCTGAAGGCGAGCTCAACAGACAGAAAGGAGGTTGGAGTAGTGGGTCATTCTCAAGATGTCCCAAATATTCAGTCAGAAACTGAATTCCCTCCCTTGTCCAAATATGGTCCATCAGAAGTACCTAAAGAAGTAACAAACAGCAAGAAACTGAATGTGAAGAATGGAAAACAAAAGGTGCAGAAATCCTTGCCTCCAACACTTCCAACTCTGGCAACCACAGCTGAGACAGATGACAAAGATGAAATTTCAGTTATAGAAACGTTGGCCTTGAAAACACCCAATTTTTGGGAAAATGAGGTAAACATTACCATTGGTATTAAACACATGATACTTATGTTAATTTCACCTTTTTAAAAATCTTTTTATAGTAATGGTTGATACATTTTGTAATTGGTTGTATAGAAAACAAAATATCAATCAAAATTGTAACCAATTAAGGGTTGATGTTGAACATTATCGTAAAATTGTTATTGGCTACTGTGCTGCATGTTTTAAATGCTGGTTAAGGAGACCGTTGTTGTAATTAGGCCAATTTAATTGTGTTCCTTTTAAACTTATTTTGAACTTGACCATATAAAATCATTCAATTATTATTATTATGATTTTGAAAGGTACAAATGACACAGAAAGGGCAGACCTCTGTGCAAGAGACTGAAGCAAAGCAGTTACATGAAGGTGCAGTCTTGTTGAGACAGGTGAGTGCTAGAGAATGCCATTTTCATTTTGGGTGCTTGACAAACCCACTTTTCTTAATTCATGGAGATACAGGGTATATGCCTAATGTTGTTGTCACAGAATTTCATAATTGATCAGATATCTTGGCAAGATCAGAACATTCGCTTTATTTTTATTGCAAATAAATCTAAATTGCTCTGACTTTCCATTCAAGGGAAATGTAGCAATTGCTGTGGTTCTGACTTCAATGAATTTTAAGTTGAGAAAGATAGGTGAAGTTGGGAAGCTGAAAGATTTACCTGCAGCCTCCTCTTTTTTTTATATATCCACAGATGTATGATAACCTTACTTTTTACTTTTTTTAACTGAAGCCCCATGTTCAAGTTGACCTATTACGCAAATTGGGGGACAGAAATATTGTCAAGATTAATCAACCTCAGACTGCCCGAGTAGAGGTATGTTTTTGGTAATCTATGTTATAATCATAAATGAAAAGATGTATTTGTCCAAAGATTATAAAAAAAAATCTTAGCAATTTGATATCATAAACAATAAACTGACAACATATTTTACAGCTTATATCAAAACTATATGATATATATTTATGGCTACTATATGAAATATATTTATGACAGAAGTGATGTAACTCTTAATACAGGTCCATCCACTGGCAATGATGTACATCAAGGAAATGCATACAGCAATGTTAACAAAAGTAAGTGTTCATATATGTAGACTCAAAAAAGTAATTCCTGGACTACTATGCCAAATTGGATAAGAATGCTCATAGAATATCATAACATAATAATGCAATGCCGCAATAAGACCAAAGTTTTACCTGTGTTAAGCACTGGCCACTTTATTGGGATTAGAAAGCAGAAGGCTACAGGATTCATGTAAGAGGTATAGTTTTCATAAAATTGAGACTAGAACTAAACTGTTTAGGTGGAATGATATTCAGCGATGGCTTTGGTGTGAAAGCATATTGTCCCATTTTTCAAGTGAGCTTTGATATATAGCAGTTAGACAATTACTTTTATATGTTTCTTTATACAGCCCTTAATTCAGATGAGGATGTTAAGACATCTAAGCCTAATCATCAGGAATTGCAACTCAACTTGCAGAAAAATAATCAACACTGGAAACAGAAAAGATGAAAAAGTAAGGAGAAATTTTGAAAATTAAATCTAAATTGTGAATGCATATGAATGAGCATAAGTGTCTCGTTAAAGCCCTAGAAAATTATCTTAAGAAATATTTACCAAGGTAAAAAGAAAAAAGAAAAGAAAGGAAAATATCCCTATTTTTGTACAATCATGAGCCTGAGCTAATATTATCGACACTGTGATGGGACTGGACACTTTTTATATTTTTTATTTCTTATTGCAATTAAAGGGCAAGTGCCAAATGGAAGTAACTGGTAAACCACCATTCGGGCATCGTAAGACCAATGCTGGTGGACTAATGCCTTGGTGTGAAAAGCAGCTGAAGGCAAGCTCAACAGACAGGAAGGAGATTGGTATGGGGGACCATTCTCCAGTAGTCCCACAAATTCAGTCAGAAACTGACTTCCCTCCATTGTCCAAGGATGATCCATCAGAACTACGTCAGGAAGTAGCAAATAGCAAGAAACTGAATAAGAAGATGGTAAACGAAAAGAGCCTGACATTCTAATGGGGAGGTCGAGCCAGCCAAAAAGGCCAGAGCTTGATTTAACAACAAAGACCAACGATGAAAAACTTAAAAAAGAGGTAGGCATTTCCCTAAGTACCGGGTACCCTAGGAATTAAACAATGAAAATTTATTTTAACAGTTTTGCAGCTGCAACATCTTTATCTTTTATTAGTGTTGCTTAATAATATTTGTAATAATCCACTTGATTATTTTGACAGAATACTTTATTTTAAAATGTCCAAATAATTAATTAATTATTTCTCAAATCAGGTGGGGGACAAAGGCCAATCTAAAGTAATTGGTAAACCACTATCTGGGCCTCTTAAGGCCAAATCTGGCCGACAAAAGCCTAGGTTTGCAAAGCAGCTGAATGCAAACTCAACAGACAGAAAGGAAATTAGTATGGTAGGTCATTCTCCAGTAGTCCCACAAATTGAGTCACAGACTGACTTCCTTCCCTTGTCAAAGTTTGATCCATCAGAAGTACGTAAGAATGTAGCAAACCATAAATGCTTTATGTTTTTTTCTTGTGATATTAATTCTGCATATGTGGTGGATATGATGCTTTTCTTATATTATGTTAACTGATCAGGTTTAAAACATAATATTTTTGTTCGTGTTAAATGTCTGGGTAATATATACTTTTGATATCATTTTGATGGATGTGAAGAGAAAGTTCCTAACTTAAGTTAAAGTAAAAGGCAAACAACCAGACAGGCAAATAAAATGATAGTAAGTGGCAATTTAATTCATATTATTTGTCTGATTAATTATTATTTCTTAAACCAGGTGAAAGGCAAAGGCCAAGCAAAAGTATCTGGTAAACCACCACACGGGCAACTTAAGTCCAATGCTTGCCAACGAAAGCCTAGGATTGAAAAACAGATGAACTCAATAGACAGGAAGGAGATTGGTGTGTGGGATCATTCTCCAGTAGTCCCACAAATTCATTCAGAAATTGAATTCCCTCCCTTGTCCAAGTATGATCCCAAAGAAGTACGTGAGGATTTTACCAAAGACAAATGCTTTGTATTACTATTTCCTTATTCATACGACTTTCGTTTTACATGCATGTACTTGAATCTAAATGTAAACTTACAACACATTTTCTTGTATCTACTCAACTATTAAAAGAACCTATTTTTTTATCAAAAAGTTTCTGAAAATTTAATATGAACTTTGATAATACCAATGATAAAATTGATATTAATCAGTATAATACATTTTCATAATGTTAATTTTTTAATAACTTTTTTCAAAATAGGCCAGGAAAGCAGTACGTGCCAACACAGACCACGAACATCATGAGATGAAAATGGCAGACATGACAAATAGTGGCTCCATGAAGACCGGCCAAGAAGAAGATTTTAAAAACAGCTCAACAGATGAGCAGACAGAAAACGATGTCAATTCGTTTTGTGAAAAGCAACAAAATCAACAAAAATCTGACTCCCCGTCAAAGTTTCTCATGGGAGTCGACCCGAGCATCCTCTTGATTAGACAGAATTCCACAGACAATGCTCAGGTATCAGACCAAAACATGCAGGCGTTAAACAGCATGGACCCCAGCATATTACTGATGGGCCCAGTCCTGGAAAGTGCACAGACATCAGAATGCACGATGAGTCGAGACGACCTCGTTGTCTCGCATCTCTGCAAAGAAAAGCAGATTACAACCAGCCCCATCAAAAAGGTAAAAAATAAAATAAAAAACAGGCTAAACATAAACATAAATGTACGCAGATAAATGAGGTAAAAATCAAAATACAAAGTGAAGGGCGCTAGGTAATGTACACGTACCTTGTAAATAGGTTATTTTATTTTCAAATTCAGACCAACTTTTGTTTTTAGCATAAGCTTATACTTTTTTAAATATAAAAATGCATGATTAAAATATAATTATTTAAATAGGTGATGAAGGGCAAGTACCAAACTCGATTAATTGGTGAACCATCAGACAGGCAACCAAAGACCAGTGTTGGCCGACGAAAGCCTAGGCTTGAAAAGCAACTGAAGCCGGGCTCAACAGTCAGGAAGGAGATTGGTTTGAGGGATCATTCTCCAGATGTTCCACAAATTCAGTCAGAAACTGAATTCCCCCCTTTGTCCAAGTATGATCCATCAGAAGTATGTAAGAAAGTAACAAACGGCAAGAAATTGAATTGGAAGAATGGAAAACAAAAGAAGCAGAAGTCCTTGCCTTCGACACTTCCAACTTCTGCGACCAGAACTGAGACAGATGACAACGATGAAATTCCTGTTATACAAAGATGTTCCTCGTTGGTCTCGGAACAAATAGAGATTTCATCCACTTTTCTGGAAAATGAGGTAAGCCTTTCCGTAATTAGGAGTCTAAAGACGCGTATGTTCAATTTAACAGTTTCTTAATATCTTGTGTTACTAGTGGTAGATAAATTTTGTCATAATTATTTTTTCGGAAAAATTAAAAACAATGATTATTAAACATTGTAACCGACCAGCCGTTGCTTTTGATTAAAATTGATTTTAAATACTATATTACCCTTTTTGATACAGATTAAAATGACGACTGTTGTAGATTCGCTTTTTTTTTTTTTTTTGGGGGGGGGGGGGGGATGGATGACCTGATTATTAATATGTTATCCATTGATAGGTAATCAATTATCAATATTTTGTTAAAGGTACATAAGACACGGAAAGGTCAGACCTCTATGCAAGTGATTGAAAGAAATCAGCCACATGAATCGAGTGCCGCCGAAGCCGGCTTATTTACGGCAGGGGACAACCGCTTTAAAAGTAGCACGTTTGACGCTCAAAACGGACTGAATTCCTCTCAGGGACCCGTAACATCACACGATGAAAAAAAAATCGAGAACTTTTCGATTTTGGCGGTGGGGTCGACCTTTGGGCAGATTGAGATGGCACCCACTTTGCCGGCTGATGTGGTGAACATTTTGAAAATTGATGAGTTAAACCACGCAGAGGGTGCGGCTGATCTAACGTCTGCGTCTCCAAGTGCAAGCAATGCGTCTAACAGAAACACGAACAGTTACATACAGGATACTTTAAATAAGAAAAAGAATCGAAGAAAAACCAAAGTCGTTCTTTTAAGCATGCGCACTCTTCCGCGCTATGAAACATAAAGATTATTTTTTCTCAACAAGAATCATTCCTATTAAAATTTCCAGTATATCTTTTTTATTTACATAATGTGTTTAAAGTATTTAATCATAGGTATCTTAGACATTTTAAATTTAGTGAATCTTAATGTATTATTTCAGAAAGCTACTTTAGAATTGTTAATTTATTAATAATACAATATATACAATAAAGTATACGATTTTGTACATATTGTTATAAAATTTGAAGTGAATAAAATAAGAAAATCAGTTTTAGCGTGATAATTTGATTTCTCATTTACCTTTAAAAATGGACTCAAAGACAACCGATTGCCTTTTAAAAAGTATCTCACGAAATTCTTTTTCTGAATATCACACTTCATTATAAGAGCTCTGTTCGCAGTTTTTAAAGTCTACAAATATCAGACGTTTATGTTTCAAATCTAATAGAAACTAATTGTATGAAACCACACACACGTGAACACACACACACACACACACACACATTTCATACCATGACTGCATTCACAATAGCGGTCTAACAGATGGTTGACCCACTTGAAAGCTTGATATGCGTGGATGGGTAAGCGTGTGTGTGTGCTCGCGCGCGCGCGTGTGTGTGCAGTATCATAAAATTCGCTGTTGTGAATGCGGTCATATTCAATTCTGTCACAGGATTCTTCGACATTATTGTTATCATGTTGAAAGGTCGGTCGATGGATCTGAAATCTACCTAAATCTACTTACAAAAAATAATGCTATAGCTCGGCATTAAATAACCTGAACAGAAAAAAAAGAGGACGATACAAGGCCTTTTATTTTAATTTAACTCTTCAGAACTCTGCTTTTATCGTGTTATACTGGTACTTGCCCAATGGTACTTGTACCCAGCTTTCATTAGAAGCTTGCGTTGGAACAATCCTCAGCTCGCACACTGACTCACTTCTTTTTCAGCTTTTATCACTGCTACTTTCATCTGTTCCCATGTCCCTTGAAAGTGGCAGTCAGAATAACCGTTTTGCTTCCTGAAAGGCAAAAATAGGTCATGGCGTAGATGAAGTTATGGGTGTGTTTCACTGCCTTCTGTAGCGTAGTTTTCTTTGACTTGCTGTTGTGGACATACAAGGTCCAGTCAAGGGTGTTTGAGAACAAGAGGCAACAACAGATAAGAAATATTGAATATATACCATCAACCACTTCCAATACAGAGATGGAGCCAGTTGCCAACCTGGCATCAACTGATGGTTTCACCGTGACAATTAAGTACGTATTGCTTATCGTGCTTAATGTGTTTGACATTTGTTATTGACAAATTATGATTTTCCTCTTTTCAGTTATCGGCGAATATTATTTTT